GAGAGAAATACTTTTCTTGTGAGACAATGTCTGCTCTGGGTCAAAATCAGGAGAGACAACGGTAATCTAATGGTTTGGTCTGAAAGGCTGGGACGCTAGCTGCATGGGAGTAAATTGATTTCCCTTTCCATTTTGCTGCCGTTTGGTGTGTGTGACACTCTCCTCCGAGAGCCCTGAACTGTAAGCCACTGTTACTCCTTTGCTTCCGCTGGTGAGAGCTGGGCTGCCGCTTAACTGTGCGTTCGCTCCCCGTCTGTCTGCCTGGCCAACAGACACGAGACTCTGCCTGCCTTAACATTAACCAGCCTTAGGAAGGGGTGAACCCCAGTCCCTCCCACTGGATACTCTCAGAAAGCAGTACGTTTGCTGCCTCCAAAGAGGCAGTGTACACACCAGCTTGTTCGGTTAGCTAGGGACTCACTCTGTACCCCGTATAGCAGCATGGAGGTCTGCTTTAGAGTAAAACTAAGAATACGTTTATTAACAAAACAGAGATTGCATGATACCAAGCAGAGATAACCGAGACAGAAAAAGGTTACAGACAAAACAAAACCTCCTTTCTAGAGACCAAAAGCTTACTTTTAGGCAATGCTATAGTGTTGCCTAAAACAGTTTCTCCTGCCCTACAGGCCAAGAGGATCCACCATGCCCAGGCTCGGAGAACACTGTTCTCTGTGTCCCCTACGTGATTGATGGGGGAGGGATAGCTCAGTGGTTTGAGCATTGGCCTGCTAAGCCCAAGGTTGTGAGTTCAATCCTTGAGGGGGCCACTTAGGGATCTGGGGCAAAATCAGTACTCGGTCCTGCTAGTAAAGGCAGGGGGCTGGACTCAATGACCTTTCAGGATCCCTTCCAGTTCTAGGAGATAGGTATATCTCCATATATTATTTATATTTTATTAGAATGTCTCTTTGCTCCCCTTCAGGTTTTCCAGCTCCATGGTCTTTGTCTCAAGGGCCAGGAAGACCATCTGATGGTGCAGATGCTGTCCCCCAGTGTGCTCACTAAACTGCTTCCTCCTCAGCTTGTTAGCTTGGTTCCTTTGTTTACGTGATACCTAAATGTTCTTCCATTGCCCTCTTCAGGCAAGTTAATACCTTTGTCTTGGGCAGTTGGTCGACGCATTCCCTCCCAAACACAAAAGCGTAACAATGAATTTCCCAAGGTACATAGTACACAATGTATAGGGAAGTTCAGTAACCGTGCACAGGCAAACTTGAAATGCTTTTAAGGGCGTTGTGTTAAAACCCACCACGCTGCATCCTCCCAGTTGGTGCTGAGTTTTAAAGTTGGTTTAAACTTTTGATCTGACTGGCAAAAAGTCATCCCATTTCTTTAATACAGGCAGCTGTGATGGCATTGAGCAATCCACCTGTTGAACCAGCATAGCTTTGAGTGAAACAGTTGATGTACTGAAAGCCATTAACGGGCACAAGGCCCCCTGAAGCCTGCAATGCCTTTGTCTGTATTAACTCTTCGGAGGCTGCAAACATCGATGACTGAGTTTGAATCAGTTGCTAGGAAAGGATCTTAAATTTCTATGGGGACTTTTATCCCAGCAAGCTTTCTGAACTCTTCTGGGGGTACATCCTGGCAAGCCCAGTGAAGTCCATGGGGGTTGCCCAGGTCTGAATGGGGCAAAGTGTGGCCACCCATATGCACCCATGCAAGGAATTCCTTCTGCCTTAGAAGTTGCTGCGTTTCAGTGGTGGGTGAAGGAACAGCGCAGCAGGAACACTGCAGATTAGAGTAGGACAGGGAGTGAAAACTAGCGTGGCATCCAGTCGGAACAGCAAGGGGAAGTGAGTCAGAACGGAAGTATAAATAAATGACTGCTGCCATTCAGGTGCTTTAAAATCCCCCCTTGGTCTGCAGGGGTTTTCCTGCCCTGCAGGGTGAGTGCCATTGAATAGCATTGAGTTCCTGGACAGTAAAATTGTCTCCCTTTGTGTGGGAGGGGTGGGAATTTAAGGCTCCAGATGTCTTCATAAGACAAGGATTGCAGGTCAACTTTTTCTTCTGTGGGTGCCCCAGGATGCCAGGAGGAGAAGGGAACTAGCCCCCCTTGCAGTGAGTTAGCGAGCAGCAGGTGTGCAAGGGAAGCTGTTCTTCACCAGCAACAGAGGGTCCTGTGACACCTTTAAGACTAACAGAAGTGAATTCACGAGGTTGATAGATTTCCATTCCATAGGGCTAAATGCAGTGCCTTGCACGGTGTCAAGTATCAGAGGGGGAGCCGTGTTAGTCTGAATCTGTAAAAAGCAACAGAGGGTCCTGTGGCACCATGCCACAGGACCCTCTTGCTTTTTACAGATTCAGACTAACACAGCTACCCCTCTGATACTTGTTCTTCACCAGTTAGAGCAGGACACTTGGCAGTCAAGGCTCCTGGCTTCTCTTCCTGATTCTGCATTTCCATGGGACCTTGGCAACTTTCTGTGCGCTTGTTCTCCCCCTTCCCACCCGAGGTTACTGGAGAATACCCACTTATTAAGGGGGTTGGGAGGACCTCTGAGGGCTGCAGATGATTATCGTTCATAGCAACGCTGACCTGTAAGAATGTCCCCCCCGTCCCCCCCCCCCAAATCTGGTCGTCGCTTGGCCATTGATTCTTGGCAGCAGATTCTTTCTGCCACTCACACTTGCGGTGACAGCGGGAATGTCGGGCGCTTCTAGCCAACGAGGCAGTTTGCTCAGTGCAGCATCCAGCACACTGGTGGTCACTGGCTGTTTTGAGGTCAGCCCCAACTGGCATGCATTTGTGAAGGATGCCTGGAAATGGGCAAACAAACGAGGCAGAGGCATTCCCGTGACCTCGTCGTATCTGCCTGCAGCAGATAGCAAAGCGGTTTATTGTCGGGGCCGATCTGCGGTCCCAAGGAGAAAAAGCAACTTCCTCTCTTCTCTCCCCTTCTCCCCACTGCTTTTATTCCTTTTTTTTGGTGTACGCTAACTGCTGTGTCGGTTGAAACGGACCCTGGGTTGGGCATGCGGTGCTCTTGTCTCTAGCAGTGGCCAGGAGCGGTTTGAAAGGGGCTGAGCTGCCATGTACAGTAGTGTCAATGTTCTGTGCTGCTCCCTGTGTGTTGGTGACAGGGATCGACTCTCAAAACCCTAGGCACAAATGAATACCCCAGGTAGCTTAGGGTGAGGGGTTAGTATGTGCGGAGGTGGGCTGGAATAACACTTGGATTTCTCTTGCACGTAAATGAACTGCAGTTCTGCACGTAAAGGGTTCACCGTTGCAGCGGCAGCGTTTGCTGAATCCAGGCAGCGGTGGAAATTTATGCTTTGTATAATGAACAGTTAATACAGGAATAATGCTTAATGCCTCTTAAACGGCTGGTAATAGAGGGCAGCATTAAGACATTAGTTACTTTGAGTTGAAATCCTGACAAAGCGGGGCTTACAAACCTCTCCAAGCAAACCGCTTAAAGTGACTATAAAAATCAACAACTTGTCAATCTCTCTCTTTCGGGTGAGGGTGGGGGGGACTTTCTCACTCGTTGGGTTTTTTTCATTGTGGCTGAAAAAGGAAGTGGAACATCTGAGATTCCGTTCAAGAGGTGGGTGACTGGAATGCTTGTGAAAAGACACCCAGTGCTGTGGTGGATTCCCTGGTATTTGATACAGGTCCCAGTGACTTAGATCAAAGGTGTGTGGTGTTCATGTAATGTTTACATAGCACCATCGTTTGTGAAGCGCTGTAAAAGAGAATGAAAGACATGGCCTTCCTGCAGACACGAATCTAAGCTGTTGAGTTCTCTGGGATGCCTCCCTTCCGTAGGGGTGTGCCCATGGGAAAAGTGTTTGCAGCATCAGGGCTTAGATCTGATGGACACAAACAGGATGATGGCATCCAAAGAAGCATGTGGAAAGAAAAGTGAGTGTGAGCTATGGGTAACTAGGGATGTAAATATTGTTTAAAAAGTTAACCAGTTAAATGATTAAAGTTGTATCGTTTACCCAGTTAACCGATTAAAGGGAGGGGGTGGGGCTGGAGCTGCTCCTGGGGTCAGCCGGTCTGGCCCAGGGCTGCTGTTCTGCCTGGCCGGCTGCTTGGGTCAGTCGGCCGGCGCGGCCTGGGACTGCGGCAGGTGGTGGCTGGCTGGGGCTCCTTCGGCCCACCCAGGGCTGGGGGTTAATGGTTAGGCTGGGTTAACCGATTAGATTAATGCTTACCAGTTAACTGTTCAACCATTTACTATTTTGCATTTTTGTGGGTAACAACAAATAAAGGTGGAGCTTGAAACCCTAGTTTTTTTTAAATGGATGATCGGGATGGTGCTAGAGTGGAGGCAGTGAAAGAACTGAGTGAGTTTTAACGGAGGATTTGAAGGCTGAGAATGAGGATGGACTTGAGAGGTGGGAATGACGATGTCATCTTGTCCATCTCCCAACGGCTCATGAACAAAACATGTTCTCCAGCGTTTTCCCAGTCAAGTTTGAAATGACTCAAAGGGTTCCCGCCAGTTCCCCATAGACTTTTCTTGACAGTTCAGCCTCCATTTTCAGTTCCTTTCAGCCCATTTACACCTATTTTTACAGTGGCTGCCTCCTGCCGGGAATGAAGTAGTTAACCCTTCAGTCTCCACCAGTGGGAGCAGGTCACGTCTCACCCGTACTTGGATGTTTTGAGACGTAGGCCCTGATCCATGCAGGCAGAATGTGGTTATAGTCAATGGAACCCAAGCAAGCTGACTGCATGGGTCCGTTTGTACCTTGTTAATATTTTGTCAGGTGCTGCGTACCACGGTGATGTGCTCAGTGGAAATGCCTATGGATAAATCAATAAAAATAAACTCTTATTTGGGCTTTCGTATGGTTGGAATGTTCCTTCGTTAAAGGAACAAGGCAGTCCTGCTCTGATGTGAAGAAAAGTCCTTTTAAGAAAATATAAGGCAGTGAGGTTTTAGAAACCATTTGTGGCTTGACTTTGTTGTTTAGCTGGACTGTGGTTTGAGCAAGTTTTAATCTTCTGCTTTCCTGTTTCCTTGCAGTTGTAGGGTGACGTGGCCAACAGGCGCATAATGAAGAGGAGCTTTTGGATTTCCTAGTTCTTCGAGACGGAGATTCAAAGGAGACGAACCTCCCATCTGCTTCTTTGCCATGTCTGGATCTACTCAGCCCGTGACGCAGAACTGGCGAGCCACCGAGCCACGCTATCCCCCTCACGCCATGTCCTATCCTGTTCAGATCAGTCGGACACATGCGGTAAGGCAGACTTCTTACTTCCTTCGGGACAGGCGTAGGATTGCGTGGCCCTGTTGCCAGGGACAGTGATTTGGATTTAATGGCTTCTGCTGACATGGGATGTTGAAGAGAATTGAAGCCCACTTCCGTCTCTACTAATGGGATTTCTTCTTTCCTCTCCCATCTTTTCTCTCCTCCATCCGCAGGGTGGCTATAACTTCTCCCCCTCTCCAACCTACTTCGCCACCTGCCTCAGTGCTGCTCAGGGCTCCAGTTCATGGCTGTACTCTCAGAAGCTTGGTGGATCGCTTGCTGTCCCAGAGAGAACACAATGGGTTAAAGGAACACGAGCGGGCGTTGGGAGTGGAGGGGAAGTGCGGTTAACCGCATGTGTGGAGTTCAAGGACTCTGCCTCTGTCCCTTTCTGGCTTGGCTTTTACAGTGTGTGCTGAATCATGAGGTGGCTGGCATCCTTCCCCAAATGCCAACGTATCGCTTCCTAGCAAGCCTGACCCTCCGCGCTCACGTTTGTTTGAGAACTCTTGTGATTTCCCCCAGGGGAGGCAGGCAGCCATGCCAAGGGGGCTGCCATCTAATAAACCTACTGTTTGCTTTTCAGTCAGGTAGCCGAGATCCCCTCTCTTTGTAGGGCTTCTGGCTTGGGGAGGATGTTGTATATTGTGTTGGTGAAAAAGAGGGGAATCCGTGC